AAATTCCAGTAAGATTAATATAACATTTTTGTAATACATCATGTAACATAAAATTTATGTATATGTTAATTTTGCCAAATCTACATGATTTGAAAAATGAGATATTACACTTCAATAAATATTTTGTTTTATTTGGATAAAAAGACGACAAATAATTGAAATACTATAATTCTTTTCCAGATGACAAAACTGCTGGAGTGGGTGTCGTGCACAACGGTGCTTTTTGGCGTGTGGCTCGCTACAATTAGAAGTGACTCTACCTTCGTTAAGGAATGGCATGAAATTATACTTTTTCTTCCAGTTATTTCCTTAGTTCTCTTTGGATTATATTCAGTTACTGTCATCTTGTACAGAGTATTCACTTTTAATACCTGTGAAAGCGCAGCCACCGAACTTCAGCGAGTTAGTTTCTCCCTTATCTAAAAGAATATATTTGTACGAGTAATATTGTTATTTAATGTCGTTCTCTTTGTTCTTTCAGCAAATAGAAGAAGCTAAAAAGGATCTCCAGAGCAGAGGTGTAACGCTACGAGGATTTGATGTTTCTTCAACTTCTTAAAACTGTAAATAGTATATAATAAAATAAAAACATAACTTTTCTAACTTATATGTATTTAAACATATAATTTTCTCTATTTGTACTTTGTTAATGTAGGTGGATACAAAACATGTACATATTTATCATTAAATATATAAAGCTATGAACTGTAATATTGCAAACAATCGTGCAAACATGATTACGTGTAAATTGCATCTTAATTCTTTAATAGCAAATTTACCACTTTACATTGGCGCATACGAAAAGCTGTTAATACGTAAAATTATTTAACAGTAAAAGCATAATGTAGTATTTTGATAAAATAGCTAATGTCACATTTTTAAGAGAATGTACATTATTTGTACAAAGTATCCCAGACTCGACGGGTGCGATATGTTAATAGCAGCTTCTTGAGATTATTTTGAAAATCCTAATACCAAAATGCGGTGGCTATAATAGTTTTTAAATGATAAGTGTATAAAGTTGACAATTAAGTTGTTTGAAATTCGCATGCTAAGGCATGTCGCATTGCACAATTGTGAAGGTACTTTTAAGATATTTGGTATTAGAATTTTCGTCTCAAAATGCTCGCAGGAATCTGCCATTAACGAGTATCAAGTCTGAGACATTCTGCGTATTTCAAAGTGCTATAATTATGTTTTCAAATGTCTTTGCGTATAACAGTCTTCATAGTATTGAATATCGGTCAGTACATGTGTTAAAATTTTACATGAAATTAACAGTAATGGACCAATTTGCATTTGTGGAAATCGTAATTTATTCATTTATACTATGTATTACAAGTGTGTTGAGCACACAACAGAATGTGTTCTGTTTTAACAGCAGTTCTTCTCTATTAATATTTTCTCTATTTTTATAAAAAAAGGGGGATAAAACTTGAGTCAGCATAACAAACAGATTGGAATTTTATGCAATTGTTACTACAATCCTCCAACGAATAGTTTTTTATATTGTTTTTGCACTAAATATATGTAAGAGCGATGAAAGTTCTTCCAATATTTATTATTGTTTTAATTGATATTAATAAGAGTAACTGTATGGTACAAATTTAAGAATTAAGAATTTCCTACTTATGTAACATGCATAAACACGTATATACGTATGTATGTATATAACACGCTAGTTGAATTCTTTGTGCCAAAAAATGTTAATGCTGCTGCAAGGAGAGATATAATCATAGTCTAATAGAATTTCGTGTATATGCAACAATTAATATTCATGGGTTTATATAATTTCAAGATTGTTCATAATATCTCAACTGTTTTCTTGAATTACAAGTAGAAATTAATTTGATGGACAAAAACATCTCATTACTAGCAAAAACTTGATGTGATACTCATGGTGACTTTATCATGAGCCAAAGATTAAGAAGAAAATTATATAGGTATATTATGTGTATTCGCGATCGTCCCCGTGAATATTGCTGAGAATCAGGAGCGAAGCTTCGAGAAGCGGAGAAACTGTGTCTCGCTCGAGACTGTCTTTTTAGCTAGCATCTACAAATCAACAGTCTCCTTTATCTTGGGGACCCCGAGAGACAAACATCCGAAACAGGTAAAAACTGGTCAGCAGTAACAATAGATCAGCACTAAGCGTGATCTCCGGCTTCAGCTGATTTCTTTTTGAGGAAATGACAACAGTTGATCGCTGGACCGTGCTTTCGCCCATCATGCTCTTGTCTCCCTGAGTGTCAGGACCCTAGGACAAAAAGAGTATAAAACCCCCGCGATTTTGCACCCCGACGCTACTCGTTAAGAAACTTTCGGCAATTCAGTATCGTGCAATTCTTTCGGGCAGCAATCGGATCCTTTCACACGCAACTTCTCGCGCTTAACTCGAGTGAAGTTGGTGAAAGTTATTCCGCGCTTTATACATATATACATATGGAAATAATGTAAAGTTTGTGCAGTAAACTCGTGTTAACTGAGACTCCGTTTTTTGGTCTCAAGTTCGAACTCGTCAAACACTTCGTCCTTGCTTCCCGTCACTGCGATGTAAACGATAAAAATTATTGTTTTCTTTTATGACACACAATTTACTGAATTGCGACACGCAAGAGAGCTTTTCAACATTTAAATCAATTTAGTGGCATTATCGTTTAAAAGTAGAAAATCTCTTTGAGCATACATACATAAATACGAATATACGCAAATACACATGCTCGAACAGATGCACTCTATAATTTTTATATCAGAAAGCCAAGAAATGTACAAAATGCACTTATTATACCTACATGCAAACCTTCAGATATGTATAAAACATACCTTAACGCGAGAGTGAACACATCTTCAATTTATATATGCCCTCTCAATATGTAACTACTGCAAGGTATTCTTCTGCAGAGTAAGGCTCGTAAGGCTTTCTCATATAAAAATGCAATTATATTGCTCCATATATATTAAAGAAATATAAGATCTTAGAGCACTTGTAGGCTGTAAGGATGGATTTTATAACACCGTTTGCCGTAAGCAACAGTTCTTTCTCTCATAAACATGTGTTACATATTAAATGAAATGTTTTTAAAAGTATGAAACAATGCTTAAAAGAATTGACATATATGTAATGTTATGGTATGCGCTTATCCTTAGATTCAATCGCTTACCAAACACACCAGGATTTTATCTACACAACAAATAAAATAGCATAGATATATTATTGTGTATATCTATATACAAAATAAAGATGATTATTAGGTAAAAATGATAATGGTGCGATCATCCACCCTCTGTCAGTCCTGTTCTTTATTCGAAACGCTGCGTAAGATCAGATGAGCGATTCAGTCGTCGAGGTTTTGCGAGAGTAGGAAGTTAGCAGCGAGATTTTCGTTCTTTTCACAGGCGAAATATGCTTGTACAACTAAATGTTCTGGGAAACCTAGCGCTTTCAACCTCTCGATGGCATCTCTGTCCTGTGGTGTTATCTGTATTAAACCCGGTCCTACTCCCGCCGCTGCACCCGCGCCGGCCCCACCGTTCACAGCACCTCCTGCTGCAGCCGCGGCCGCGGCTGCGGCTGCGGGCGCCACGCCTCCTCCAGATGTTGGCAAAACTCGCGCCCCCGTGCCAGCAGTAGGTTCCACTGCACGAGAAAAGGGAAGACCAATTGTATAAATATAATATTATACATCTTAATGTTATTTCTTTCAATCATAATGCACGACGATATGCTCGAGCATATGCGTCTGGACTAACCAGGTTCGTTGAGCATGCGTACAAATGTTTCTTGATTTTGAGAAATGAGCTGTAAAAGGGCAGGATTAGTGGAACCGATTTGCTGAAGAAGATTGTTCAGCAGCTGTGGATTCTGCTGAATGACTTGGCGCATTTGCTGAAATTGTGGCTGCAAGCGCAAAAAGGCCAAGGGATCTTGACTCTGATCCTGGAGCTGCTCTTGGGCCTCCGGTGGATCTTCGGGTGGATCCTCAAACAGTTGCGCTGGTATACCTGTTAGGAGATACTCGACGGCTCTATCAGGGTTGTTAAAACTCGCGCGCAACGCCTGCACAACCTGCTCGCGTTCGTACCTAAGTCAAATGACAACAACATGACGTAAATATTAACCGATGGTAGTTGAGCGCGTCACTCTTTCTCCATACGCACCCCATATCCATGATGTTGTTTACCATAGTGTTATAGTCCTCTCCCATTAGCAAGGCACTTTCTGCTTGACCAGCTGCCGGCGCAGCTGCCGCTGGCGCAGCTGCCGCTGGTTGCTCTTGCACGTTACTAGCTGCTCGCGTAGTATCCTGAACATTAGGGTTTGAACTAGGTTGCGTACTAGCTGCCGAACTAGAACGGAAACGTCAAGAATGAGATTGCTGTGCTCCGCGTTGATTTGCCCCCTTAACGGCATTTGACGGATCGTTTGGTCGCTCGTCGTAACGAATGACCGATACGATAAACATTTTGCGACAAGCGGCATTTCCGTCTGGCAAAAATGTCGTAATGTTCAAGTTACCTAGTAGACTCCTCCTTCTTGTCACCCTCGGCGCGCTGCTCCTCGCTTGTTTTAGATGTAGCACCAGCTTTAGGCTTTGTTACCATAACAACTATAAATTTCTTCTCGTCGATATTATATTCTGTTAAAGGCTGCTCATCCGCTAATATTTTCCCTGCAAGCGTTCGCACCATCGTTACCATCTCGAGAGCAAAAAAACAATTCACTGTAGATTTCGGCGCCGTACGAGTCGGAAACATAACCTACGAGCGTTTCTGCAAGATCATTCCTATCGCGTGGAAGCTATATTTAAACGTGTGTGGGCCGCGCGATATTTATTATGCTACTGCAACGTGGATTCTCCTCTAGCCGCGTCAACGAACACGCCGGGCGCCCTCCCGGATAACGTACCCGACAAATTAGGTTATTTAACCGTATCTCCTTACCAGCGTATATCAACTTCTGATGCTCGGCAGGGAAGCCTTTCTGCGTCTCGATCTTTTCCTTGAGATCTTTGACCTGATCGAATGAGACAACAAGAAAACGTTTTAGTCGTTGACCCTCCGGAAAAGTCGGCTCGGCCGCTCGATCTCGCCCGATTTTACTTACAGTTTGCGACGGGTCGATCTCTATCGTGAACGTTTGCTGTTGTAAGTTTTTCAGCGTTATAATCATATTGCCGGGATGGTGAGCTCGTCGCGCGGCGTACGTCAAGCAGTCACGAAATTAACCACGCGTAGTTCTCCACGATAAGAATAAAACGGTGTTTTGGTGGAGATTTTTTTCGGCGATGAGTCTGCACTGCCTTAAACAGCTCGCAGGTGTATGAATGTTAACACTTGCGACAGTGTGCGGAAAAACATATGATAATGAAAGAGTAAAGGCTACCAACTGCTGCGTACGAGAGGGAGAACCAACTGCAATCGGACGCCATGATGTCGCGAAGGTTATAGCGTTTTCGATTTGCTGACTCGACCCGACCCCGAGTCAGAAAAGTTTGATCAAAAGGAGAATGTATGATGGAGAATCTTACATCATGATGGAGAATGTATAAGGAGACCGAACCACAGTTGAAAATTCTCGGAAATCCAATTCTTGGAATTTTAGATAGTG